GTAAAAGACTGAATCGTTAAAAAAAAGGTTTGTTTTCACATGATCACTTTTATTATAAAAGTATTTTCAGAGACAATTTTTGCCACCATTCATTTAAACTTATTGTCAGACAAAAGTATTTAAGATTATACAGTTTCATGCAAGGTGCCCGTTTTCTCTACCCATTAAACTAAACCACAGAGCATGTAACCTACTAGTTACCACGAATTTCATTATGCAGTTGAATTAATGAGGCAATTTTAGCATTGAAAAAGATAAATAATATATAACTACTATGATCTAGAAAATTTCCTCCGAAATAGGTCATTTCTGCAATATTAAAAATATTAAGTGTAATTGTAACAACCTTTCAATAAGTTTAAAATGAAATATTACACCTAGTTAAGACACAAGAATACTAACCATTTGTGAAAGTAAGGTAGTACTCAATAGTAGGGATCGACAAGGATTCCAAATAATTCACGCGCCGAAAAAAACACCTTATTGAATTCCTAAGCGAAAAACCGACAATTCAATGTATTGGTTACGATAAATTATGAACATATATACTAATAATACGCTCAAAAGGTCGCTCACATTTCCGGTATAATAATTCAAAAAATTTTCAAACAGCAACTTTTTAGTCTAATACCTACCTACCTGATCACGTTAGCGGGGCTAGCGCCCAGACGGCTTGGACTATCGCTACAAGATTTCGTTTACAATATATTTAAACTTACTACAACATAAATCTAGTGTAGAGGACTTTGTGATCCATCTTACTGTCGCGCGAAACACTTTATGGTCCATGTTCCTGTGGCGTGAAGGGTTTGTGATCCATCTTACTGTCGCGCGAAATACTTTATGGTCCATGTTCCTGTGTCGTGAAGGGTTTGTGATCCATCTTACTGTCGCGCGAAATACTTTATGGTCCATGTTCCTGTGTCGTGAAGGGTTTGTGATCCATCTTACTGTCGCGCGAAATACTTTATGGTCCATGTTCCTGTGTCGTGAAGGGTTTGTGATCCATCTCGTGAAGAACTTTAAATAAATAAATATGGTTCAAAGGAACAGGGGAAAAAAGCAGGATTTGCAGTAAACAATCGAATAGTGAAACAAGTGGTATTGTTTCCTACTTGTATCTCTGAAAAACTGGTGAAGTTGTGACTCCCACTGTTAAAGAACCGCTTCATCCTCACTA